ACAACAACAACATACAAGTGTTCAGGTCTTTCATTCATAGGGCCTCTATGAGTCATCTATGATTCAAAGGTACTTAACAACAACAACAGTTGTTAGATTGAAAACATACCCTAAACTGCTATGGCCTCAATATAATGACAATCATAGGCTTATAGAATTCAAGTGCCTCAGGCTGAGGGGAAAAGTCCTTATTCTGCTACCCTGGGTCTTCCTGCTCCTTGGGGATCCTCCTGGGGTATCTAATCTTCCCGAGTTACATTTGCTTGTTCTGTGTCTGTATCACTCTTTATATCACTCTAAAGCAACGAGGTTTGGGGCCCACCCTACACTGATACAACTTCATTACTGTAACAGGGAAATCCTATTTCCAAAATGGATTACATGCACTGGTACACGGGGTCAAGATTCTATTACATTCTCGAGGGACACAATTTCGTCCACACAACTGGGCTTCATTTTACAACGTGTACATTTCACTTCAGAGGAGATTATGGTCTGAAAAGGAGGAGCTGTGACCCAGTGACTGCTTCTGAATCAAGCAGCTCCTTGGCCTGAAAAGATTTTGGGACTTGAGACTTCTGACACCCCACCTCCCAATCAGCGCTCATTCTCAATACAAGTAATCTCTATTTTTCAAAAGTCCACTTGTACTACCTTATTTTATTATTATTATTAATTATTATTATTTAAGAACCTATCACTTGTTCTGGTAACTAAAAGAAAATGGAAGAGGATTCCTACTGTTTTAGAAGAAGGTTTGAAAAGTAAAGGCTTGAGCCTTTACTGAGAGAGGTGTCCCCAAGCTACTTCCCCAGGAACTATGCTCAGAAGCTCAGCCTTGAGCTTGAAACTGTGTCTGTGAACACGATATATTCATGTTCTTTTAGGTTCCGTGTGTTATATTTGGTATCATTTGGTCGGTTATTTTTGGGGTTTGGAAATACACAAAAAGCTCTCCCATATCAATGAATGATAATTGCCTGTGTGTGTGATGCCAGTTTGGCTTACTGAATGGTTTCTTAGAACACTTTGTTTGCACAGCAAGGGGAGCCTGCCTTCTCTCATTTCAGCTAATGGGGCAAGGAGTATATTGTGGCTGCCAGAGATCCAGCCCCACCCCTCACAGTGAGAGCTTCCACGTTCACCTGGTGGAGGGAGCTCTTGGCTCACCTCTCTGGAGGACCACTGCAATTAAACAGGGCGGAAAAGTAAACTCACATAAAGGATGAGTCACATTTTCATGACTGCAGGCAGCAACTCTGCCCCTTATTTATGGCTTCACCTGCCTTGAAACAGAAAACTCAAGGGTGTCGATAAATGGATTGTAAAGCTGTTCCATTTAACCACTGAAAGAAGTGTTTCCACAGCCCATTTAGGAAGGCACTGATGTCTGAGGCAGATGGTGGGGTCTGCAGGGAGGGAGTCTTTGCCTCCTGATAAACATGCAGCTTTGTTTAGGGGATCCAGGATCTTGGAGATCAGAACAGACCAGAAGGTCAGCTTGTGCAACGGTCCCTGATGCTCAATGGCCTCCCCACTACCTGGCCGACTGTTTGCACTGCTGTTATGAACAACATGTCACTCCCTCCCAGGACAGTTACTATGCAGTGGTGCATACAAGTCTTCGCCAGAGTGAACTTGACACTGGACTCCTGGATAAGGCCTTCCACAGAGTCAGGGGCCATCAGAGCAATCCCAGGCCCTCTTTTAAGTGACAGCCCTTTGAATGTTTGCTAAGGCTGACTACGCATACCTTGAGCCTCTGTTTCTCTCAGGTAAACACCGCCAATCTCTCTCTGCTATTGCTGATGTGAGGAGGTTTGAACTGGCACCACCATTTGTCCAGGTCTCTCCTATGAGGGCCGACTTGTCTAGATGGTTCTAAAAAAATGTCTTCGATGCTGTCATTCCTTCTCTCCCTAAAGCTTAGAAAATTGTCTTTGATATGTGAAACAGAAGTTCATTTCAAAGTGCTGAATGGAAAAGAAAAAAAAGGCAAGCCTGGTCTTTACTGCATATTTCTGGAAAGTTCCATGAATGCTCTTTGGTTTGTCTTTGTTCGGGGGAGGTGACCCCTTTACTGTATTCCTATGTTCAGCCCAGCAATGTCACCGATCATCTTTCCTATCTCTCCCACACATGACATCCCCAGCCTTCCTCTCCCACTGTGCCCTGGCCTCCATCACAACACACACGGCGATGGACCCTTCATTTGTCAACCAATCTGCTTCCTCCTCACACTGGAAATACCTACATCTGCTCTCTCTGTTGCCTCAGCACCAGGTGTTGCAGAGATGTCAAACAAGAATGAATGAGAAAGTAAATGAGTGAGTGAAGAATTGCCAAAATGTATAAGTAGACAAATAGAACAGATCAAGCATGGGAATAAGTGAATGACTCCATGGAAAAAGGAATAAAACATCTGGCTTATGAAACGAGTCCGTGAGTAGCTCCTCCCACGTCCAGTGATTCTGTCACTAAACACTTTAAGTGACACAGCTAAACAGGCTAAGATCCACCTGATCCAGGCCATGGTCTTTGCAATTACTTGCTGTGCATCAGAGAGCTGGACAGAGACTGAGGATGAAAGAAGAATCAATGCCTTCAAGTTGTGGTGCTGGAGAAGAGTCTTAGCCATACCATGGACTGCCAAGAAAACTAACAGGTCTATCTTGGAGAAGGTGGAACCAAGTCTTTCCTTGGAGGCTAGGATTTTGAGGTTACATCTCACATACTTTGGACACGTGGCCAGGAGTGACCGGTCCTTAGAAAAGCACATCATGCTTGGGACAACTCAGGACAGTAAAACCTTGGATGAGATGGATTGGTATAGTAACTGGGGCAATGGAGGTTAGTGTGTCAGAGTCAGTGAGACTGGCTCAGGACAGGGCAGGCTTCAGAGCTGCTGGACATAGGGTCGTAGGCAACTTGAAAGCACATAACAACAGCAGTAATACAACTATACAAACAACCAGGTCAATCTCATTTGGCGTTTTTGTCTTTTTCTCCTCACTAGCAGCTTCCATCTATCTTTGTAGGCAAGCCATTTCTTAAGACATCAGCGTTCTGCGGAGCTAGAGATACGGTAAGTGGGAGACAGACAACCTTGAGGTCGTTCTTGGAATTCTGCGACGGTCAGAATTCTGTCTTCCCTCCTCCCCTCCCCGACTGGTTCCCAGTCTTACCTTCGAAGCTCCCAGCAAACAGGTAAATCCAGGTGATGGCTGGGATGCAGAGAAGCGTCAGAGAGGCAGCCAGGAATTTCCGTCGCCCTCTGCAGATCCCCAGCATCCTCTCGGAAGTGGCAATCTCTAGTCCCAGCGCCGTGTCTCTGCCCGGAGCATCAAGTCCTCGGCCTCCCTCATAGTACTTTCTGAAAGCAAGAGCAGAGAGGAGGGGCTAAGTGCTGAGGGTGGTAAACGGATGCAAACTGTCAAAGACAATGATCTCATAGATCCTGGAAGTAGTTACTGCTAACATTTTATGTCAATGGATGCTGCGGCAGTCTCACACGCTATAAAAACTAAGACAGTTCTTAATGAAAACGTACATCTATGAAGAAGACACAGGAAAGTGTTTGTTCACACACAGACACATAAATTCTATTTCCTAATCATATGTACTTTATGATATAGATTAGTTCCGAGGCCCCCAACTAACACGCCTAGTAAAGGAGCAATTAGTTAGCACTTGCCCCTGATGTCCCCACATAGTACAAATCCTTAACATAAATCAGCAGCTCACTGAAACGTTGGCGTCTGAGATTACCCAGGACTAAGTTAGGAAAAAGGTGCGGAGATCACCTTCCCAAAACCAGCAAATGAAAACTTTACGGAGCAGAGTTCTTAACTGACACACATGAAGTCAAGTCACCATGAGTTGGAATCCACACAATTATAATAGGATTTTTTTTCTTTTAAATATACCAAGCATTAAGGATAGACAATCTCCTCCTGTGAGGTTTGTTATTGTTGCTGTTAAGTGCTATCGAATCGTAGATGACTCATAGCGACCCTATGAACGAAAGACCTGAACGCTTTTGTGACTTTCATCCTTTCTCCAAGTTCACAGAGTTTCCAGAAGCAAGCTATTTCAGAAGTGGATGCCACTCCTGCTTCCAAGCTTATATGAATCGGAGAGTGCCACCAAACACTGTCCACCATGGGTAACCATTATCTCATTTGACACATCCGTGTCACAGTGTTCAGCTTCATAGCCTCCACGAGTTACCTCTGTACAGCAAGCGGACACACCAGGGCAATACGACCTTGAAGGATGTTTCACCAAAAACAATTAAAAACTGGCCCGAGGGCTGCGTTTACTACCTCTGAAAACCCTCTGTCAGGGCATCCATGCATCAGTTCCTGCATGACAGTACACAACAACAACATATTTACAAAGGGAGCCTTGCAAAGGCCCTGGTGGCCTAGTCATAGGGAGCTGTGCTGTCAACCTGAAGGCACATGATTTTGAATCCACGCGCCGCTCTGTGGGAGAAAGACACACAGTACTGTCCTGAGTGATTTACTGCCTCTGAAAACCCGCTGAGGGGTCAGCTGTCGGTGGGTCAGTTCCAACTTGTCAGTACATAGCAACTAACTAGCATGTTTTCAAACCAAAGTAAGGCTTGAAGCAAAACAATCTGAAGAAAGAGGTGAGTTGAACACACCGGGGGGGGGAACGACACGACACAAATGCTGTGACACTGGAGACATGAATGGACCACAGTGGCAGCAGAGATGACAGAACAGAAGGATGCTGAGTTGTCAATACAGCCTCACACAGCAGTCCCTGGGCTCTACACAGAAAGCACAGCACAAGGCAAGTGGAGCAGGTGAGCTGCGCACGCCAGGGAAAGGGACTGGAGAGGTCACAACGTGCACCTGCGTGGGACTCTGCTTGCGTCACACCAGACAGCTGGAAATAATTCACAGCAGACTGTGCTCCTGGCCTCTAACCTTCAGTCTGGAAGAAGAGACCCAGGAAGTCAGAAGACTAAGGCAAACGTGCAGAGCGTGGAGAGGAGCAAACAGAAAGTGCACACCACCCTGCAGAGGCCAAGGTCCACTCTCCCAGGGCCACGGCAGAAAACTGCCCAGGACATGTCAGAAGAGTGAAACAATAAAGATGGAGCTTTGCTGTGTCAGAACCTGTCGAGCTGCTCCCAACACGGTAACGGCACACGGAACAGAAGGAAATGCTGTCCGCTTCTGCCTTTCAGCCTTGCTGTTGGTTGGAGACTATAATCCATTCAGCCTTGACAATGTTACCCTATGATCTACAGTGGTTTTACTGACCATTCTCTGAGAGTCAGATGATGAATAAGGATGACAGAAGAAAGGTATGATACCTTTGACCTGTGGTGTTAGAGAAGAATACTGTATATCCCATGGAATGCCAAAAGAACAGAGAGGACTTGGAGAAGGTGCAGCCAGAGTGCTCCTGGGAGGCAAAGACAGTAGTCCCCTAGGGTGTCCCCAAAGGTGTCCTTTGCTCTACCCATATGCCCCAAGAGGATGGCATCGCTGAATCACCTCCTTCCCTCAACAGTCTTGATGTTTTCAGAAGACGGGCAAGCCATCTGATTCACCTTGCATTCCCCAAGATGTAGTGCGGTGTCTGTCACTCCCAGGCACCTGTCTGATAATTGTCTATTAAAGAAATAAATGGGATCGGATCTTCACTAAAGGCAGCCCTCTCAAGCGGCAGAAATCTGTGTTCAGCATGACGCTGGCAATAAAGACCTAACGGACCCAGTCTCAACTGTCAACACCGGACTGTCTTCAGCAGTGACTCCGACAGGAGGTCCTAAACAGCCTGCTTTTAAAACAGATGAAACACCATCGGCTCAAGGGTGTGGACTAGAAAGTGAAACTGAGAACACAAGATGAGATAAATGCCTCAAGAATGGGAGTCAAACTCTACTGTGGTCTCAAGTATGACAATTTCAGAGACAAAGGGACTTAAGAGCAAGGGGACAAGGCTGGTGCAGTTAGAATGACCTGGGTTCCTATCCAGGTACCCCTTTGACAACCGTAACCTTGAACGAGTAAACTCTCATGTTCAAGACGAGGTGGAGCTTTTTATCTTGGAGGGTACCTATGAGACGTAAAAGAGCCCCTGATCAAATGACTAGCAGATTCAGGAGCCTGAGGGTGGCACACAATGTTAACGACTATGCTGGTGGCACAAAGGATGGCGGATTGAGGCCACAAAGAGGCAACTTAGAAGAACAGCCTTTCAATCCACTTGTCACAACCCAGCCAGTGAACTGACTACAGAGCACAGCTCGACGAAGCATATGGGGTGGTCACGAGCTGGCACCATCTTGACAGCAAACAGCTGTACCGAAAGGTTCATCAAGCCCATGAGGGGCGTGGTTTCCACTCCTGAGGGCAGAGACGTGCAGATTACTTCTATTTTCTCTCTTCACAGCCCAATATCCCCTCCCAATCCCCAGCAGTGTCTGGAGGAAAACAGATGCCACCAAAAGGTACTGATACACCAGGGGGCCGCGTTGGAGTCAGTTCTAACTCAGAGTGACCTTGTGTACAAATGAGCAAAAGGGCTGCCTGGTCCCCCCTCATCCTCCCGGCAGTGACTAAGCCTGCATCCAGAGTAGTGCCTTCCGGTGTAAGGAGTTCATCTCCCAGTGCTGCATCGGACAATACTCTGCACTGACTAACTGTGAAAGCAGGTCACCAGGCCTTTCTTCCTGGGTTGTCTTAGTCTGGAAGCTCTCTTGACATAGTGCTGTGAGGTGCCACTGAGTCCATTTCTTTGTCATTACAGCCTCAGGTGACAGAGAGGAGCTAACCCTTTCTGACCCTAGAATAGGGGTTTTCTAGGCTGTAATCTTGGAATACAAAGAGCCCAAGGTCTTGCTTCTCCAGAGCTGTGGAGCAGGTTCGAACTGCCAACCTTTTGATGAGCAGCTGAGTATGTGCCTCCTGTGGCACTAGGCTCCTCTAGGGGGCCCTGCTGGTGTCTGAAATCCTAGTGAAATAGCTGCCAGCATCACCACAATCTGCGAGCCACCACAGTGCCACAGACTGACAGATGCCTGATGGAACCAGCAGTACTTAACACTATGTCACTTTTCCTTGCTTTTTACAAGTGTTTACTTATTTAGTTCTCAAAATAACCTATAATTCAGGCACTGTTTTTAACCCCTATTTCTCCCTGTTTTCTAGAAAGAACATCAAGGCTTGGAGAAGTTCATAAACTAGTCAAAGGTTGCACAGCACCTACCAGGCAGATGGACCGAGGGTCTCCCGTACTCATTGGCCTCACCAGGGCCATTCAGCTCCAACATGAAACCATCATGCTGAAATTTAGGAGGATTTCTTCCACAAGGCTAAACAGAGCACGATTGCCCGCCCATTCCCATCCCAAACAAAGAAATGCAACTATAACTGACCATCGACACAGGTGTGTCTCGTCCTGCTGCACTTCACAGATACAGAGACTTTCTATTTGTTTGCTTTTAACAAAATAAAGGATGTGGCAACCCTGCATTTGAGCAAGTCTGTTAGTGATCCCATAAAAAAAAAATGTGCTTATTTCAAGTCTGTGTCATACTCTGGTGATTTCCTTAGCATTGCAAACCTTCTCAGAATGGTATTAGACACTTAGTACCTACAGTGTAGAGTAAAGCTGACTTCTGTATGCACTGAGAAGCCAAAACACATTCATACGACTGACTTACTAGGATATTGGGGAGTCTGGAAAAGAACCAGCAATATTTCCAACATTATGTCAAGTAGATGAGCTTAGACAGTAGGAGAAAAGAGGAAGATGGGAACACATCTCGTAATAATACACAAAGAAACATTATTGTAGAAAACTTTTTTCTTCATTTTAATGAAAGTTTACAGAGACTTATGGTTTCCAGTTATTCATTGTGTACTACAGAATTTCCTTCTTTGCTCTCTCCATCTGCAAAACTTAAAATTTTAACCTGCACAGTTTAAACAAACTTTTAAAACAGAGTACTGGGTAGGGTGGTGTGCTTTTCATTTTAACACCGGCATTCAAGATTAAACCCACCAGGTGAAAATATTTCCTCAAGGATTTGACTTTTAAAAGGCACCTTGGTGCACATACAAACAAACAAACAAACCAAAAAAACCAAAAAACGCGCGCGCACGCGCGCGCACACACACACACACACACACACACACACACACACACACACACACACACACACATACACACACACACCCAAACTCAAGACAATCCAAAGAGCACACTTTCAAGAAAAATCTCAATTTATATCAGAAGTTACTTCAGAAAGTCAATACAGGAATCAATACACCAAGAAGAAAGGGAGGACCAGCAGGCCAGCTGGAAACGGCATCCACACAT